TTCACCGGGGCTCATCTCTCTGGGGTCACCGGCTGCTGTACCTGTCAGGTAAATGCCAAGGGGACCTACTGGTGGGAAGAAGATGAAAGAAATGGGTGTGTTGCAGACAAAGACAGGATCAAAAGTCAGTAACAACATTAAGTAATTCCAGTTTCCCAAGATCTTGTTCTTTCTGAACTCGATGTGGGATTAGAGGTACCACTGGGGCAAAGAGAGCAGGAACTTGGTGGTAGACAGATCTGAGTGAGCCTCATTCTCAGTAACTGTAAGAACCAGGGCCAGGCCCTCCACCACTCTAGCTCTCACACTTGCTTGAGAATCTATAAAACAAGATGGAGAAGAATGGTCCCCGCTATTACTTCTACGGTGAGGGGGTGATGATGAGGCAGCCTCCAGATCTTTCAGATAAGATTACCCAGTGAAAGCAAAAGTGGTCAAGTGGAGGAGAAGAGATGGACTTCCTGTAGAACAGCTTGGCCAAAGGAATAGGAAACAATCAGGGAGAGGGCACTACGGCGATCAGGAGTCTATTGCTAGGATGTAAGCCTGTCTCAGAAAATCTCATCTGTATCAACCTACCCTCCAGATGTAAGTGATTACAGGAAATCTGAGGTCACACACTGGTGGTTCACAGCCAAATGCGGTTCCCAGAAGTATTTTGTTTGACCTGGATGGTATTTTTTAAAGAGTATGGATTCATTGCTAGCGTTTAAAGACAGATTTAACATAAATATCCAGCTTTCTGACTTTCCTTTCAAACAGAAAAGAAAGAAAGAAGACAGATCTGACAGCCCTCATCTGTGATCCGTTGTGGCAAAATCAGGGGGAGCTGGTAAAGGGGAGCCCTCTTTACACACGGCATCAGCTCTCCAGCCCATCCTTCAGTTACCTGCCCGGCCCTAAAATGAAGGAAACTGAAACGCAATCAAGTAGCAGTTAAGTGATGGGAGTGAATCAAAGACATGAACAAGCACAATCAACTATATCTGCTTATCGGGAGCAGAAGTTGCTGGAGCCAGGAACTGGCAGCTACCTTGAATGGTCATTTTGACCAACTGCTAGAGGCTGCACGTGGACCAGCATTACCGTGGGAACTGCTGAGGGCTGCCTTCGTAGGGGGTCCCCACAATATTTCTGGCTCTTGCAGGGAAGGGGGAAGAGCACTGTTGTGAAATATGCCCAGAGCCTTCTCTGTAAAAAGGTCTACTCTGCAGGGGAAAAGACTGCCTAAGCCTTACCCAGCTTGGGGAAGAGCATCCCTCCCACTCCTGTCTTATCCAAAGAGAAAATAATGTACTCCAGGGGGGTCAGAGCTTCCATGAGATAAACTGGGAATGCTGCAACCAGAGAAAGAACAAACACACCTCCTCCAGAGTCCAGCAGTTCCCCAGCGTGGCTCCCCACTAGGACGACCTGGGGAAATTTAAAAAATGCTGATGCCCAGGATGTACCCAGACCAATCAAGTCAGAATTTCTGGGGATGGGGCCAGGTACCATGATTTTTAAAAACTGGCCCAAGCCAAATTCACACCAAGTTCGGATCTATTATTGACTACATAGGCTTGAGTGGTTTGGCAGAAAAGAAAACAGATTATGAATTATCTACTTTATAAGTACCAAGTAATTAGCAGTAAAGAACTCACTATTTCTCTAAGCAATTGTAACTGTGCCATGAACTTCCCCATAAGTACATTAGACCATTCCTCTATTTTGTTAATTTACCTTGACTTGCATAGAGAATGGTAAAACATATCATCTGCTCACAGATAACCAAGAGTTGCTTGTACAACCTCCCTGCCATTATTTCTAGTCTTATACAAATAACCACCTCACACTTTCATATTTCACTTTAGATGATTTCATAAGCTCTATAATTAACCCTAGGGCTTCAGGTGTGTAGTAAGCATCACGATGTGCCCTGATATGTGTATTCACTGGATGTGCATTTCTATTCGTGTCACAACTATATCCAAACTGCACCTGCAGATTCCCTGTATCAGCAACCCTCTGAAATGCACACATTTTAATTTCTACTTTAATGCAGAGCTTCTAAATTTGAGCAGATGCCTAAAAATGCATTGCAACCAGTGTAGGGACACACAAGACCTTGCTAATCATCCTTCATCTCGGTCTTGTATAGAGTTAAAGCTCCACTACAGGAAAGGGCACTTGATTGACTGATGATGATGACTGGTCCCACCCCCCACTCTCCAACTAACAAAATTTCCTATAGCTACTGCAATTCCAAGAATGATCTGGACTGGACTCAGAAGCTTATTTAGTAGGAAGCCAATGACACTTAAGCTTCAGAGCCTCTCACTGTGTATGGGCTTCTTCCAAAGCCCTGGGAGCTATCCTAAAGGTTTATATTTGTGATTTTGTATTTTTTTTCTTTGAGGCAATTATATAAGTGTTAGGCCCCCAAATTCTGGATCTTACTATATAAGTGGGCCCAATGTAACTTGGCTGCCAATCAGAAGGCAAGTACTAAATACACTGTTAAATCTTCATAATGTGAAGTTAACAAGGATTGCTTTAGGGTTGCAAATATACCCACAGAATTAGGCCTTCCTTCATCTCCAATGAGGAACCGCCAATAGAGGCAAAGGGAACATGATATGGAAGGAGAGACCTGCCTATCTTTGGAAAGGGCTGGCATCTAGGTCCTAAAAGAAACCAGTGGGGGGAAAACCCAGGCTTTTCCAGTGTGTGTGGAAATTAGGCAGGCCCAGACCCTGGAGAGTGGATCCCCAGGCCACCTTCCACAAATAAAATCAGCTTTCTCTGCCCTCAGGGCCAAGCAAGTGCAACCTGTCTGGGGTCTTTACAAAGAAAACTTTGTCCACTTTCTTGCTAAATTTTAAGTTCCTTTTAATGAAGTAGCAAAGCCTTCCAAGCAATAATTAAAGAGAAATGGCTTCACATGCAAATGCCTGGAGTGAATATTTGAAAACATACTCATTAATTGACCAGTCTAACCCAGAGCTGCCAGACTCCTGTGTATTTAGATGGGGGTAGGAGTGGGAGAGGATTAAAGCAGGAGGGAATCTGAAGAAAGCCTGAAACATGGAAGCCCAATCTGCACACCATACGGCCAGGAATATACTGGCCCCCACTCCAAAATAAACCCCCTTTCTCACCGCCACTAGCCACTGCAACTGACCCATGTGCAACCTGCCACCCTTACCGCAGGGCCACAGCCACCGCCAAATCCAATCCCTTATTTCCCTGACTTCTAAAATGGAATCAGGTGGCACCAGACCACATTCCAGGCAACACCAGCAGCATGGTCATAAAAAAGCAGTGCGCTCATTCAGGATCAGGCGACCCTCCCTCGCCGCACTGGCTATGGGCAATCACCATCCACCCCTCCTCAGCTGGCTCACTGAAGGGAGCCTTCTTCCTAAGGTATTTCAGTAGCAGGGGAGAAGTAAGAAGAAAGGCAGCAGAAATGGCAGTGTTCCAATGGTGCGGAAGACTTGGCTGTTTTGGTTCCTTTAATCCTCTGGCCCATTATGCACGCACAAGCCTAAGTCAGATGCCCTTCTGTAAAGCTCATCAGAACTTTGCTGCAATCCCAGGTGAAAAAGAAGGACCTTCCCCCTCCCCAGCCTCCAGCAAATGCATAAATAGGCTCATGGAGAATTAACATAAAAACTCTCTTTCCTCATGAACGATATTTAAATGATAAAACCTATGAGGAAGTTCTGTACGTTACTTTTTCCAAATATGGACTAGCTTCTGAGAACGAAAGACAGGAGGAGAGGACCTCAACAAATCGCAGCTGGTAGCCAATTCTGCTGAGAGAGGAGTGAAGACTCCTTCATCATTTCACCAAAGAGATGTTCGTTATTATGAATGGAGTCGACACCAGAAGTCAAATGGATTGACAAGACATCAATGCTATTACCGTTATTGGCTGTTTTGTGTTATGTTGATGGGAATTGGGGGGGAAGGTTTTGAGAACAGTTAGAGCAAATATACCCCAATTTCCTGACTACATCCAATGCATCACGTGTGACAAAATACTGGAGGTGGAATGTGGTTAATCTGCAAAGATTTCCACTCAGATGGGATACATACATATGTATGTATAATTCCTATGGTAGTTCATGTTCATTATAGAACATCTCTGTTTGTTCTTACTTCAATTTAGAAAGAATTCACACAGATAGTACTTACTACTTACTATTGTTGAATACAGGTTCATAGGCTTTGGAAATGGACTCTTTTGTGGTAGGTGAACAATGGCTAATTGACAAAATACACCCTCACTCATGGTTCTACAAAGCGTGATGATCAGAACCCATGGGGTTAGTTTAGGTGAAGACCCCCACAGCAACAAAGCTGTTTAAACCACATACAGATTTGTTAAGCAATAGTCCCTCCACCCTCCTTCCCTCCACAAGCCTTCCCGACCGCCTTGTATATGCTTTTACCATTTTACTCAATTATGAAGGAAACACTTGTTCCTGGTAATTTGGCTAAAAAGGTTAGAGAACTCCATAAACAACATGGGAGAAATATCACATCCTTCTGTGACACAGAAGTTCTTCAAAGTATCACCCACACAACACCAGTATAAAACTCACCTGAAGGCGCTTATTAAGAGACAGTGTATGGGTGAAGGACAGTGGGAGATACCGGCTTCTGGCTACGAAATGAATAAGTCAGGGGGATAAAAGGCACGGCGTAGGGAATATAGTCAATAATATGGTAGCTACATTTGTGGTGAGCACAGCATAACGTACAGAGATGTTGAACCACTCGGCTGCACACCCAGAACTAGTGTCAAATTGTGTGTCAACTATACTCAAATAACAAAATTAAAAATAAGTTAGTACATAAATAAATAAGTAAATCAAAGGCCATCTGACACGCTGACTTAGAATGGGAGCTTCTTAGTGAGCTGCCCAGTGTCTCACCGACACCGGCAGGCAAGCGCCACTGATTTAGTATACAATCCCGTCAGTTGCACGTGGCCGCTCAGCCCCACTCACCTGGTGGACTTCCGTGGCCTGCCGCTGCCGTGGCAATGGCAAAAGCAGACGCCGGCGAAACAGAGCAGTGGGAGTTGTCGGCCGTCTGTCCTGGTTATGCAGAAGAATGGAAATGGCATGGTGAGGCAGATGGGTAATATTCTGTAGTGAAAATTCTCATTTCCATTCCTGCACTAAATGAAGGGTTGGGCCAGACGCCCTGTACTGTCCTTGTTAAACATCAGTAATTCCACTCTAAGTGCAAACCCAAGAGAACTGAAAGCATATCCACGCGAAAACTAGTACGTGAATATCCCTAGCAGCATTACTCACAACAACCGAAAAAGTACAAACACCCAAATGTCCATCAACCATGGAATGGATAAACCAGATGTGGTAGAGCGATACAAGGGAATATTATTTAGCCACAAAAAGGAATGAAGGATGATACCTACTACAACATGAATGATCCGTGACAACATTATGCTAAGCGAAAGAAGTCGATCACAAAAAGGCATGTATTGTATGAGTCTATGCATATGAAATGTCTGGGAGAGGTAAATTCCCAGAGACAGAAAGTAGATTGGTAGTTGCCAGAGGCTGGGGGTCGGGGGGTGGGGGTGGGAATGGGGGGGTGACTGCTAATGGGCACAAGGTTTCTTTTGGGGGTAATAAAGATGCTCTGGAGTGAGACAGTGGTGATGGCTGCCTGCTCTTGTGAACATATAAAAGCCACTGAACTGTATACTTGAGAAGGGTGACCTTTATATTTGAATTATATCTCAATATAAAAAAGTTTTTAAAAAATTTCCTACATCATACTACCGATAGAATTTTCTACTCAAAACACCTCTAAAGTGAGGATGCATTCTAAAATCAAAAGGATGCTCTGAGCACCCTTTTGCAGCCCCTTCTCTCCTCAGACATTTTACACACAGCATCTGATAATACTGATGTCAACCTCACTTTTTTCCTCATTCAGGCTTTTAGTGAAAATAACTCACTGTGATTCTGACCTGAAGGGTTTTTATCAGTTTGCCCCTAAAGTGATCTAGTCATGCTTAAAATAAATAAATATGAGGCAAGGCAAAGAGCTGCTTAATACATGCAAGTAGAAAGCACAGAACAGCTCTACCCTCTCCTCTAGCAGTAGCCTTTAAATATTTGTGGAACGAGGTGGCGAGTAGACAGATGAACAGGCAAAATTTCAGCTAAATGGCAAGAAAATGTGTGACACTGTCCCCATTTGGACCCTCCGTTTTGTCACAGATTTCAGCTTCCTTCCCATGCTCCTATGTCTCTGGGATGTAGTCACATCAGAGAAGAAACAAAGGACTTAATTCACAAACAGGATGAGGATTTCCAAATAATGCTTATATAAATTTAAAAATTTTATATATGAATATAAATATATGAAAAAAGACTATAAAGCAGAGCCCTGATAATAGTGATCAAGTGAATAGTATTTATTTCTCACCTTGGTAGAGCTTTGCTTCCATAGGCTTTGGCCCCAAACTCTTCCAGGTTACCATGAACTCAAGAAGGGGTCTGTCCCATGTGGCAATGGTCAAGGAAGTTGCCAAGGCCTGGACTGACCAAAGCTCTAAGAGTAGTAGAGAGATCTGGCTAACCCCAAAGCAGACCCTGTAATAAGCCAGGGGAGTCCTGCTTGCCACTTTCATTTACCAGAACCACCCAAACGTCAGGGAGATCCGTGATTGATCAGGAGCCAGAAATTGGTCCACTCCCCAAGGGCTGATATCCATCTGGGTGAGTTTTCTAACAACAGCCTGACCCAGGTTAGCTTCTCTTGGAGTTGATCCCATGACAACAACTTCTACCACATGACCAAGGCTACAAATGAAATGGCCATTTGGAGCCTTTTGCTAAACTGTTCTACTTAAAGCAGGAGTATGAAAGTCAAAAAATGTTTACATTTTACTTGGATTACCTGGGGTGAATCTGGTTTCACATCTGAATAGTTTTCTAGCTTGAGGAGAAAAAAGGAAACATTTCAAAAACAACTGCTGTGTTTTTTTGTTTTTGATTAGTAAAGAAAAATGTAAGGATTAACAACACATCCGTTTAATTTGTTTTTAAATATTTCTAAGGTTTAAAAAGTGTTTAAAGTCTGTAATTCCTAGTGGAAAACGTTATCTGAATGCAGACCCTAATGGCAAACCACTGTAAAAATGTTTCAAAAAACAACTGTTATTTGAATTTTTTTATTTGAACAGTGGGGAGATAAAAGATTTCTACCTTTTGGTCTGATGGTTTTTCCTCCAATTAGAGGATATTTGGTATGTTCTAAAACAAATTATGGGTAATGCTTTATAATTTTCATAACTATAGAAAATACACCAGTTTCTGCCACATGAACAATAATGATAATTGGGGTCCCATGCAACTAGACCTTATTTTATTTTAAATTCCTTATTTAAATTCAATTTAGTTAACATATACTGTGTTAGTTTCAGGGGTAGAATTTAGTGATTCATCAGTTTCATATAACACCCAGTGCTCATTACATCAAGTGTCCTCCTCAATGCCCATCATCCAATTACCCCAACCCCCCACCTCCCCTCCAGCAACCCTCAGTTTGTTTCCTAAAATTAAGAGTCTCCCTCTCTGTTTTCAGCTTATTTTATTTTTCCTTCCCTTCCCCTATGTTCATGTTTTGTTTCTTAGATTCCACATATGAGTGAAATCACATGGTGGCGAGGATGCGGAGAAATGGGATCCCTCTTGCACTGTTGATGGGGATGCAAACCGGTGTAGCCACTGTGGAAAACAGTATGGAGTTTCCTCAAAAAGTTAGAAATAGAACTACCCTACGACCCAGCAATTGCACTAATGGGTATTAATCCAACTGGACCTTATTTTAGGTGAAATAGTGTTCTTCTTAATAAGGTCCCCCCAAAATTGTGGTGTCCCAGATGAGCCTATTTAATACAGACTGCATTGGGATTCACGACAAGGTATCAGAGCTCGGGAACATTTTGGTAAAGGCAGCACTGAGATTCTTCAACCAGCCATCCTCTGAGGACAAGCCTCTTGATTCATGTTACTCCACAGAGCGCATTGCAATGATGGGGCAAATCAGCATTAGTTACACTAATGACATATTCTCTAATCATTCATTTCTCCACTACTTGATAGTAACATTGTTTCCTTCCAACAATTTTAGCAACTGAGACCAAAAAATATTTTGGGAGTACAACAGGCAAAAGAAAGATTCCAAAGCTAGGAACTACCTTTTGCGTTTATATTTCCACGGCTCCTTCTGAGCTTACCTACAGGCTGACGATAACGGAGGTGCTGAGGAGTGGAGGGTGACCGGCAAGGTGAAAGGTCCGTGGTGTCCGCCACCGGGGAGCTTTCCACTCCTGCTCGGTCCACGGGTGCAGACTCTAGGACAGCTGCTGGGAAACATCGGGAATTTTAACAACCCAGCCATGAATTCAAGACCTTCTTATCAGTAGTATGCACAGAAACACAGAGGTTTATTATGGATAACAGACTTCCAGATTAGTCTACATTTTTAAAGGGCTTTAATATGAAATCAAGTGATGCCTCCTAGCAGAGTGCTAATGTTGCTAAATCTCAATGCAGTGTCTTCTTTATCCTTGTCTCACTGACCCTACTGAGCCTGGCTAACCATACCCAGTCCTTTTCTGCCCAATACAACAGCAGATGTTCAAAAGAACAGGCTATGTGCTGTGGGGAAGAGGGACATTTCCAGATTGTAAATCAGACTGGGATCAAAATTGGGACTTGACTAATTCTTTGCTTGGGTTACCCCCTTACACCAACTGAAGTTTGAATCTCTACCAGTGTCCACCCCTGCTCCCCAGAAGCTCTGGGGATTCCTAAGGATCTACAGCTGCCCTATCCAAAATGGTAGCATTAGCCAAATGTGACTAGGTAAATTTAAATTAAAATTAACTAAAGTCAAATTACTATTTCAGTTCCTTACTTGCACTAGCCATATTTCAAGTGCTCAGTACTGAACATGGCTGGTGGCTACGGTACAGGATGGCGGAGATATAGAGCATTTCCATCCGCCCAGAAAGTTCTATTGGATAGCCCTGATCTAAAGCTACAGATCAGCAGGAGGCAAGTGGAAATTTTTAGAACGAACTATGGGGAAAGTTTAAGATCATTTGAGCCTTTCCACTGTAGCTAAGGTCCCATGTATAAAAGACACATCATTCTAGGGTCCCATTAGGCTATTACTGATGATGTTTCTGTACCACTCGCCCTGGCTTATTAACCAGGTAAAACTACAACTATGCATACGTTCTTTCACGGAAAAGCACAACCAAAAAGTCATAAATTTCCAGCGACTCTTGTACTTCTTTTTCCTAGGGCTTTTCATTAACCCATAACAGCACTGTCACCTCCACTAACTTTCCATGACCCCTATCGGCAGGATTGTTCTCAGCGTGGCTCCCTTTGCCATTCCATTCAAGATTTTACTCAATAAACCCTTCTAAAATCCCTGATGACTTCTTGCATGTGATTTACTTCCTTGGAAATATGGCCACAATTGATTTACTTCCGTGGAAATAAGTCCACAATTCGGCTCTTTTGCAATACAAAGGGGCCAGGGAAGGGAAATGGTTAGGCGATTTCCCCGAATGACATAATTACAGTAAAGTTGGCAACGATGCAGGATACAGACAAAAAAATCCATGCTTAGCTGTTAGTTTTATTATTTTCTAAATAACTCCCTGAAAATTCTGTAATGGAAGGCATCTGCTCTGCAAGAGCAAGCAGAATACCAAATACATGTCCTTGGGCTGATTCAACCATTCAGTCCTCTGAGGCAAATGAAAAAATCATTTCGTCAGCAATTATACTGAACCCGAAAAACTTCCCAGTGAGAGAGATGGTCAGGCCCTGAATATCCCCCGAAAGAACAGGAAAGCAAAGAATAACACTGTAAGCAAACAGGCAGCTACAGAGAGAAGAAACCATGCCAGCAGGATGGGGGAAAAGCAGCATTTCCTTCTGGCATGTTCACTTTCAATCAAGTTCCATGCAAACAGCTTTGCTTTCAGGACGAGTAGGCAGATGTGGGCTCAAAACAAATGCTAAAATTGGGAGCACTTTCAGCCCACGGCAGGCAATTTTCAAGCTAAGCACACAGAAACAGACACCAGTGATGTGGGCCGTGCAGCAACATTTCGGCTGGGTTGCACAGCCGTGACCCGAGTGCACATTGGCGGGTGAGAGGCCCCAACACAGGGGGTGGTCCTGTGCCTTCCCTTCCTTGCCCGCCACTGGCTGGATTTTTGTGGAGATCCCACCTTCGGGTGGAATACAGATGTAAGTTGGGCTGAGATATGCACTTCTAAAGAAGATCCAAGGTGGAAGAAGGAAGAAAGGAGGGCACTAATGAATAATAGGTGAGCCTGGGGCAGATCAAGGTGGAGGGGTAGGGTGGGGGAATAAAGTGCATTCGTTTCCCTTCGAGGTTCATCGTTTTGCTCACTTTGAGGCATAGTTCCTATTTCTCTTCTTCCCCTTTATATCATTTGAAGTTTTCTTGCCAGGAAATATTGCAAGGCTAGCATTAGCACTGCAATGACAATAAAACTGGACAAAGGTCACTAGCATTTTCCACACGGTGTGCCCTGAAATGTCTAGCTGATCAGCAGTGAGAGAGACCTATGGCCTCAGTAGGGACCTAATGGATGAAGCTGGTATTACGCAATGAGGTTGTACAAAGTTGTATCCTGAAGTGAAAAGCCAAAAATGTATAAACTACTGGCACAGAATTCTTATTCAAGTTTGCCAACTGTTTTAAGTGTTAACATTATGCAAAACACATGCAAACATCTTTCAAATTAAAGACAGATCAGTGTCTCCCTTTTCCTTGCTGATTAGAATTTTCAAGACTAGACACAGCAGCACTCTTGGCTCCTACAGACATCGTGTACACACACACACACCACGCTGAACCTGTCAGACTGACACTGAAGTGTTTTATCCATGACTTTCTTAGGCCTGTTTATGACTGACTAATATTGCTCATTTACCAATGCAAAATAAAAGAAAAATCTATGATTCCTTTGTTACACCTCTTCAGAAAAATGCCACAGAGCTCCCTGATCTCCAGTGTTAATTCTAAGCTTTCTACTCACAGCATTTCCTTTATGGGAATCCACAGGATCAATTGTTCTCAAGTTCCAGTAGGAAGAAAAGATGTCCCTGTACACCAGTCTATTCTTAGGTTTCAATATGAATCACATAATTGATCATTTTCAGAACCCAAACGAGGACGACTCTAGGAACTGCAGAAGACCATACAGTGTTGTGTTCTCTGTTCACTAACCATACCTTGGCCTCATACAGTTTTTCTTCATTGCTTGATTTCCTTATTCATTTTATTTTTAATCCAGCTGTACCATGTTCCTGTTTGAACTACCACTTTAACTACTTGTTAGGAACAGGTAGAAACAAGATGGGAAGTAAATACATTAAAAGTAATCAGAATACAGCTACAGAAAGGGAAAAGAAATAAAGATGTAAAGGGGATGGAGAACCATCGATCATGCTAATGGACATGGAAAGAAAATCAGAGCAGCCATATTTATATCAGACAAACTCGATTTTAAACCAAAGACTGTAACAAGAGATGAAGAAGGGCATTATATCATAATTAAGGGGTCTGTCCATCAAGAAGACCTAAATATTTATGCCCCCAACTTGGGAGCATCTAAGTATATGAATCAATTAATAACAAATATAAAGAAACTCATTGATAATAATAGTAGGGGACTTTAACACCCTACTTATAGCAATGGACAGATCATTTAAGCAGGAGATCAACAAGGTAACAATGGTTTTGAACAACACACTGGACCAGATGTACTTAACAGATATATTCAGAGCATTTCATCCTAAAGCAGCAGAATAGACATTCTTTTTGAGTGCACACGGAACATTCTCCAAAATAGATTACACACTGGGTCACAAATCAGCCCTCAACATGTACAAAAAGACTGAGATCATAGCATGCATATTTTCAGACCACAACACTGAAACTTGAAGTCAACCACAAGTAAAATTTGGAAAGACCACAAATACATGGAGGTTAAAGAACATCCTAGTAAAGAATGAATGGGGTAATTAGGAAATTAAGGAAGAAATAAAAAAGTACATGGAAGCAAATGAAAATGAAAACACAACAGTCCCAAACCTTTGAGATACAGCAAAGGCAGTCCTAAGAAGGAATTGTAATACAATACAGGCCGACCTCAAGAAGCAAGAAAGTCTCAAATACACTCCCTGAAGGAGCTAGAAAAAAGAACAGCAAAAAAAAACCTAAAGCCAGCAGAAGGGAAATAATAAAGATTAGAGCAGAAATAAATGATATAGAACCAAAGGGGGAAAAAAAGAAACCAGTAGAACAGATTAACAAAACTGAGAGCTGGTTCTTTGAGAGAATTAATAAAATTGATAAACCCCTAGCCAGACTTATCAAAAAGAAAAGAGAAAGGACCCAAATAAATAAAATCAGGAATGAAAGAGAAGAGATCACAACTAATACCACAGAAATACAAACAATTATAAGAGAATATTATGAAAAATTATATGCCAGCAAACTGGGCAATCTGAAAGAAATGGACAAATTCCTAGAGACATACAAACTACCAAAGCTGAAATAGGAAGAAACAGAAAACCTGAACAGACCCATAACCAGCAAAGAAATTGAATCAGTAATCAAAAATCTCCTCACAAACAAGAGTCCAGGGCCAGATGGCTTCCCAGGGGAATTCTACCAGACATTTAAAGAGTTAATACCAGAGTGGGGGGGGGAAGATGGCGGAGGAGTAGGGGACCCTATTTCAGCTGGTCCCTGGAATTGAGCTGGATATCTACAAACAGAATATCGCAGGCAGTTGGTTTTGAGGTACAAAGCGGGGAGACATGATTCCGCGGGCAGATATGGGAGGATAAACGGCAGTGGGAGGGTGCCTGGCCGTGGGGATCCTACACCTCCGGTGAGCGACAGCCTCACGGGCTGGGGACGGGGCACAGACTCGCAGACCAGTAGCGGCGGGGAAAGGACTCTAGGGCAGCCCCCGGGACAGAAACCCGGAGCGGCGGAGTCGTGCCTGCGAACTGCAGTCCCCGGGACGGAAACCCAGAGCGGCGGGGTCATGCGTGCAAACTGGGGGCGGCTGGCGGTTTTAGAAGCACAAAGGGCAGAGACGTGCCCTGACCTGGAGGCAGAACTGGGAGCGCTGCGGAGGGGCACACAACACAGGCTGCTGCAGTTTATAGCAGCACGGACAGAAACGGAGACAGTGTGGCCTGGAGAGCTCACTGAAGAACGGACTGCGATCTCTCTGCTCTGAGGCAGAGGGTTGGAAACAGTCTCTTCTGCTCTGACTCGTGGAATAGACGCGGA